TTCTCTCCTTTCAGATGCAAAACACACACACTGCATGCTTGAGCTGCACATGACTGAAAATCCACAAACACCTGCATGCAGAGAATTGGAACATTATTACCCATTGGCACCTAAAGATGCAGTACCTCCTATTTTTACTGCAGTCAAAAACAACTACACTTGTGTAACTAAGGCTAATGTTACTGGAACTAATGTAGGTACCATCTCTCCCGCTTGGTGTGACACCACATTCAATCTTGCTACATGGGCAAATGCTACACGTCTGACCTATGCAAGGTTTGATGTGTTTTGGTACTGTGGTGGTAATAGATTACTTAATACTCTCCCTCCCGATTGGTCTGGTACCTGCACTATGATTTCACTTATACTTCCAGTTACTGTAGTTGAGGCTGCAGAGCGATACATGCTTTCATGTCAGAGTCTCCAAAACATCAAAAAAGTCGCTAGATTTGTTGACTTGAAGGACATTTAAATTAATACACACATACTGTGTTGCACAAAACTTACAAGGCCCCCCACAGACACACATATGCATGATACATCTGACTTATGCTCATACCCTATGTCACATGATATGTTGTTTGTGCACATAATGTGCAATGGTGACTATACCATTGCTATGCATGAGGAGTAGCAGGGGTGTTCAGACATGATAATCAGTTATAGAGATGTGAGGCTTGTAATTGTACTTTCATGAGATGTTGTTGATTAATGGACTAGTTGACAGACATCCTGTGAATGTTGTCCACATGTGCACTGTCCACAGGGGTGCTAAAGAATCCACTTCAGCCTTTACAGCAGCATTGTGTGGCTCTTTTTTTGAGAGAGGAGTGCAAGAAAGGAAGGGGAAGGAAGGGAGTGGGAGCAGAGAAAAGAGAATGAAACTTTGAGGGTTTCGGCAGTGCTGTTGTAAAGGGGTGTGAATGAGAACGGGGGGCCATGCAGCTAGCCACATGGCCTGTTCTCACTAAGGATAATAGAGGTCTTTCTGTGGTTCTTAACCCCCTTGTCTCCTGTTGGGAACAGGCAGTCGTTCGCCTGCCATTCACAACAGACACACTCACTTGCTGGATAATTGAATTTTACACCCAGGAAAGTCGCTCTCTTCCCTGGCCGGGTCCACCACTGCACGTGGCCCTGACAGCAACGCTCCCAGGAATCTCATCTGGGGCAAGAGTGTGTGTAGGCCCAGAGTCAGAAATAAAAATATTAAGAGGGAAATGGTACCATGATGTGAAGGAGACACTTCACTGTACCTAGACCATTAGGGATTTCACTGTTGGTCAGTCCACCTCTTTGGTCCAGACTGAAATGCCTTGGCATGACCTTGGTATTTCATGTCCTTATGGGATGAATCCCGACTGCTTTGGTAACTGATAACTCTTTTATCCATCCGTCCGTTATCTATACCTCTTATCCTGAACAGGGTTGCAGGGGGCTGGAGGCAATCTCAGCTGACATTGGCCCAGAGGCAGGGTCCACCCTGGACCAACCCCTTCTTTTATCCAACCCGTTCAAAATTAGTTGTTGTAACTTAAGTGAACCCTTAACTTCTCATCTAGTGCCAACATCAGGCCGAAATCTCAGTATGTCCTATAGTTTGGCATATGACTAAATTAATGACAAATAGCAGTTGTAAGCATTTTATAATGCTACAGATGAAGTATCTGGTAAACATTATATTTATCTTATTAGTTTCCTACTCAGCATGTGGTAAAGATGGAGATTAGATTGGTGTGTTTTAAGGTGCAAGGTGGTCCCTAATCTTAACCATGTTAAGGTTTGTGATGGCTAGGGGGTATATTGATCATGTAAAGAGATCCTCCCTCCCCTTCCCCCTGTCAGTGGCTTCTTACCCTCAGGTTGATGATCTCCTTGGCAGGGGGACCTGATTCACCTCCTTGCCTGGCTCTCTGAACAAAAACAAAAGGTGCTCCCTTCCTGCAGCCTTGATCATTTTCACCTGTCACTCAGACTTTCTCTGTGTCACTTGGGGTGTGTGGAGGGCTGCTCCAGGTGAGCGATCGAGTGTGGCTAATGGCTCCTCTGCTATAACAAGTGTGTGCTGGTCCTGAGGGGTCCAGGGAGTGTCGTACACTATGGGAACAATGCCGCCATCTAAAGTATTTTACTACCAAGACTTCCAAGCCCAGGAACATCCACTGCATGTATTTGAGTTCAAAGTTGCACCTTTAATGATGAATGTCACATAGTTACCACCTCATCAGATGAGAGCAAAAGAGCCATTTTCACAGGTGACAGGACAACTCTCTCTTTTGCAGTTTAAGTTTGATTCATTTACTAAAATATCTGTAAGCTTGTTCTCTTATTGCCCAGCCACCAAATGGATATCTTGAACACTGGAGTAAGTTTGGCAGCCTTTTTAAAGATACCTGAAACCGTATATGATAATTGATGAACTTCTGTTGCCCTTGTTTTCCAACATTTTTACCTTATTACAAAGTTAAAACAGTAAATTTCTAAACTGAACCAAGGTATGTGTTACTGAATGTTCTCATGCAGTGGAGAACCAACCAAATTGATGTTGGCTGATGCTTTCATCAGGTGTATTTAAACTCCTACGTGTCTTGTCTTTTAAGCTGTCCTCAGGTCTGTATTTACCTGGCCGTCACTGTAGGTGCAAGAGCACACAGTCTTTAATGAGAACTCTGTGACTGATCGACATTCATGATGCTTCTCACACAATACCTGATGGCCAGCGTGACTGCCAACACCAAACACACAACAAGGCAGCGTCACTCTGCAGCTGCTACTCATGCTCAAGCTTGACAAGTCATTTCCTTATGGGTGGACACCAGTAGAGGTAGCAAGAGAAACTATGTTTTGTAATTTGGGTGACTTTAAATACAATTCTCTTCTGTTCCTGCCCATTTTGACTTGGATTCTAATAGTTTTATTTTTGGTTTGTAACATTTATAAGCAGTGAATAAATACTTCATAAAGTGTGTAGTATGCTATAATGTGCTTATAGGCAGATATACTGTAAGGATGTTTTTCAGTGTTTATTGATGTATAGTATTTGTCAACAGTAATGACTTCTATGAAGACATTTTATATTATAACAGATTCTTAAAATATTGTCATTTGTTATGTTTATTCACCATCCTCCTCTTGTTGACAAATACATTAATTAATCATTTAAATCTGCTTGCAACTAATATTTTATTATGTATATATTGCTTGTTACAGCTAAATATTGGGGCTTAAAATACAGTGGTACCTTAAAATCTGGCCTTATAGTCAAAAACATGTTCAACAAACGACCTCTGTTGGAGAAATGGGTACCAAATGGTCTTTGGTTTGTTTATCTACATTGCATGTACTGCATGTAACTCCCAGTTTATAGCTGTCTTTCCACCAGCAGAGGACGACATTCACCCAGCTACCCCTCTATTCTATCAGCCACCGCCTCCTCCAGTCGGCGTCCTGACTGTCCCCGGCGATGGCCCCTCCCATCAAAGCCATATAACCTCTCCTAATCACCCCCACCCCTTGTTGCCCTGGAGACGGCTCAGACGAGCAGGTGATGCATTGACAGGGAGCAGATGGTTCCCTGTGGAGGTAAGCATGGCTGAACAATGCTTACATATTCATCATAAAGTCTCTCTAACTCTCAGTGTCTCCCTCCTTCAACTGCATGTAGACACATAACTTCATAGTTGAATGAACCCTGCTTTTGCTGACACATGCAGATATTTGTACACTCTGCTTTTCTGGATTGCTGATCGAAATAGCCAACATACTGTTGGACCTGTCAATACAGCGGGGTTTGTGCAGGCTGAGCAAGGTGATGATGTTGTGACAGGTTATTAGACAGAACTAGTGATTAACAGATGCTCCTCCATTCAAATGAGGCTAGTTTACAGTACCTCACATTGGCGACATGTAAAGTAAAGACAAACAATAGGGGTTCTTTCCCTTGGCCTCCCTACGCTTGTCTTCTGCAGGTGTTTTCAGGCTTTTTGCTGCAGTAACTCACTCCTCTAAAGAAGCTCCTTCTTTAGCCCCTGTCTCCCCTGGAGATAAAGTACAGACACCCCACTCTCCCTTCTCTTTCTTTCAGCTAACTCCTGAATAATCCAGCAACAATACAGGACTCTGAGGCGGTGTGCAGTGATTCGCTGGAGGCCTGACTTGTTTTGCGTTGCAGTTGGGGGGGGGGTGACATTATGGAAATCAGCTAATGCATGTAAACCACTGCATCTATTTTTTTTTTTTTTTTTGGAACAAGTGGTAAAGAAAAAGTGTGTGGCACAATGGAGGCCGCAGAGCGCTACACTTAACCCAACACACTCTTTTTATTGGAACAAGTGGTAAAGAAAAAGTGTGTGGCACAATGGAGGCCGCAGAGCGCTACACTTAACCCAACACACCTGGAGCACACAACAGGGGTGAGAGTGGGAACCCACATCTCCTCCCTTGTCTCACCCATCATCACCAGCACCACAGCACCTATCAATACAGGCTGTAAGGAGCTTGGTTGGGCTGCTACAGGAGGGGGCTGCTTGTATTCACAGCCTGACTATGATAAAGACGCACAGTGAGGAGCCATTCAACAGCCCTGCGCCCATAATGGAGTCACTAATAGGTGCCTATTCAGCAAGGAAAGTGTTTTCTGGAGGAGAAAAAAGTTTTGGTGAAGCAACAATCACTTTGTCTGCTGCCCTGTGTATGTAAAATTTATGCAGCGCTCCACCCCTCCACCCTTTTCCAATTCTTTTTGCTCTCTTTTTTCCCTTTTTTAAAGAGCGTCACCAGTGAATAGACTACATGATGGTTTGGAGTTTTATCCTTTCATCCTTTCATGAAAATAAATTGAATGGTTTGTTCTTGAGTGAGTGCAGTCCAGTGGCAGGGATCTCAAAACAGAAATACACACTTTTCATCTCTCTTTTTCCATAAAGCTGTCAGCCATATGCACAAAAGACCAGGTTTTACTGGAAATATTTTTTTGTCTTGATCTTATAAGTTTGCACTGTAACCTGCATTAGAGACATTACGTATACGTTTGTGTTTATTGTGTTTCATTTACATTCAGGTCTTGAGTGTTTATAGAGGAGATATAAGGAAACTCTGGCCTGAGTGTGAAAAGGAGTGTGAAAAATATCAGGTTGAGTTAGAAGTGTTGTTTCAATTCTTCTGATGTAGAGGTAAAAGTACTGTGCAAAAATCTTCTGTAAAAGTAAAGGCAAGCCGATCGGTACAATCAGTGTTTCCACGTTATGTCACAATACCAAACCTAACCAGTTTTTGATGCGATATTAGGGCAGGATTTGCAAAATCTATACTTTGTATATGAAATAAAACAGAGTAAAATAGAATACTTAAGTTACAGAAAAGAAAAATAACTTAATAACGTGCATAAGTTGCTGTTCTACATCATTCATAGTAGAATGCTACAGAAATTTACAAACAGAAACACGTATGCCTTAAACCTTTTGTCTGTATCACAAAAACTTGTGCATGTGTCACATGTGAATCAGTCTCTGCAGATTTTCCAACTTTTAAAACATACACTAAATCTGAAAATATAAGCGTTTTAATACTGGCGCCTAAATTGTTTAGATGGATCTCTAGACATTAGACTTTTGCACAAATTTGTCAAACCACCTTTCATTTTGCATAGAACTAACTCTTAAGTACACACAACTGATGGTGTGGTGAGTAAACTGTGGTGACGCTATTAGATACGCATGTGTGTAAGTCCATCATAAAATTGGGCAACACGCATCACCACCTGCATCATCAGCTGTTATATTATAGTCATTCATTATCAGCCATAGGTCCAATTACTGATGTGTCACAGTTAAAACACTTAAAAATAGCTCGTATCGACTTACTGCTGTAAGCTGAAATTTGGCAGCCATGTTCAGTCTTCCATTTGGAGCATCCAGACCAGTTTCCACATAGATCTGGTCAATGTTTGTCAAAGGATAGCAATTTGATTGCACAGAGATTTTAAATACATCTCTGGTAGCTGTTCAGGCCTGCATGCTGCCATCGCTGATAACAAATGTATTTGCTGCTGACTGACCCCCACCCCTGACACCCCTGATCCCGAGGCACCGGGGGAGCAGACCTTGTGGGTGGACTGACTAATCTTGAAATGCTGGAGCCATATTGGAAAAGAGGGCATGAACTGAAAAATACTGCGAACATATTGTTCTGTATGCCAAAGGGCTTAGCAGACATATTGATGAGATGAGAAAATAACGGAGCTAACCAGGGGGTGCTGGGGGTTGTAGTCAGGGATATCAGCATGGCATGGCAACCACAGTTTGGAGTCAGAGCAGGAATCCCCACAGGCCTGTCGAGCAGAGACAGCGCAGGCCAGCGCTCTTTGATTCCGGGTCCTGCAGCCGACAAAGGGCAGCACGCAGTGGGCAGAGCTGCTTTCCTTAGAACAGCATGAAAGCCCTTGTAATGGTATTTTTATGTGTTTTGTGAGAGGCTTTGTCAGCTTATGTGTGCTGATATATATGTTTGACTGTGTATGTGTGTTTTCACGCATTTGCAAGTCTGTTACATTTAAGTTGGCCTTTAGTGATGATTTTTAATCTAGAGAGAAGAATGAATTAAACTGTCATCTTCATTGTTAGCCAAGTGGCTAATTTTCAATGGTTGCCCTTCAGCCAGATGTGATATTAACTGTTTAATATTCAGTAAAGTGGTCAGCAAAGATTTTATTTCTTTTAATTGAGAGAAAAAAAATTGAAAACTAAGCCTGATACAATATTTTTATATAAGCAATGGATCACGCAACTACACTACTTGTATGTGAAAGAGGTTTCTTGTACACAGCAGTTTTTGTATTTTGGAGGTAATTGTTTTTTCATGAGTGGTATTCCCGCTCTTCAACATGAAATACACTCTCAAAGCTCTTATAGTGACATTATCATGTGTGGCAGGCAGCTGTATTCTGTTAAAAAACAAAAAAACAACTCTAAATTCTACTATAAGGTGTCTGGACTACACCAAACAGCAGCCAAAGCTAGCAACTAAAGAACTGGAATTTTCAAAAACACAACTAAAATGAAAGTGAACATTGGACTTAAATTCAAAACATGTCTCCAAATGAATACTACATCTGAACTGAATACTAGCAAGTGTTAACAACTTCTAAGAGGACTGTTGAAAAAGAAACAACAGTGGTGCCTTATCAGCATTACTGTAAATGGCCCAGTGTTAGAGAAGTGGCTGATTTTCAGTGGTTGTCACTCAGCCATATGTTATATTAGCCATTAAATTGACACATCAAATAAAAGCAAGAAGAAAAACTGTTGAAACACAAATGAACAAAGGATTAAAGGCTAAAAAGAAGACAAGCGGTGTACATACAAAAACGCAGTAATAGCCGTTTTTATTCTGTTGATTAGAGGATGCAGTAAACACACGTATGAAATATTTTAAAACGTGCACACAAGCTTGCATAGGCACCCAATGTTCTCCTTATAAACAAACATTTACACATACGCGTGCCACAAAAATACTGCAACCTTGTGTCTTCCCTGCACACTGCATTTTCTAGCAGTGTCTTAGCAACTGTTATTGTGGCATTTGAATTACCCAACGTGCACTGCAGAGCCCCCATAGTGTTGAACACAGAGAGACCTCAGTGAGTGTGCTTTAGAAAGGGAAATGTAAAGGACAGGTCTTGATCTGAGATGCTCACAAGAAGCTTCATATCACAAGTTGTGTTGTTATAGTTAGCAGATTTCTGTGTTTGTTCTTTTTGTTAGATTTTTTTTTTTCAGATTTAGAGAGTTAATAAAATAAGCTCTTGTTTTCACAGCTTTGAGATTCTACAGATAACACGTCACCAGACTTAAAAAAAAAAAAAGACTGATTATTTGGCAGAAGTAGGACATGAGTTGTGTGAAGATGGCAGCCACTGTACTAGTTTGATCTGGTCACCATGGAAAACGCAGGCTCCTCCTCCTCACTTGTTCATAGCCCTTGTTAATATTACACCAGGAGCATATTTACTAGGATTTTCATGCACTACTGATCTGAAGACAAAGAACCTTAAAAACAAGATACACTCTAGAAAATTACCCTTGATTGCAAATACAGATGGGGGGCTGTTTAGGACATACACACATACAGTATGTGAGCCCTGATTTGTGGAATTGATAGGCTCCGTTGTTTCCACAGAGCTTGTCACTATATGCACTGTAATGTAATTAATACCAGGAGATTTATGCTGCTGTATAGCAGCCCAGAACCTGATCCATGTTGTGTCTGGGGTCGGACTGAAAAGCCCTCTCTCTGTCCAGCTGGTCCTGATTTCTGCTCTGGCCTCTGTCACTGTGTGGGGCTGCAGTGCTGTTCATTTCTTAATTGAACGCTCTGGTTTAATGTAGACCTTGTTTTGTGGAAGAGGGGTCTCAACAATGTGTAACAAACTCAGAAGGGAATCTTGTGCTGTGCTATAGTGCATTTGTCTAGGAAACTTTATGCATGAGAGACTTGTACCAGGTTGGTAGGATGCTAATCATTAACAGGCTTAAGCTATTTAAATTGACTAAGGTTTTTTTTGGCCTCCCACAGAGTGGCATTGCTCCTTTCCTCTAGCCTTAAATCACTTTAGAGCAAAGCCTGAAGGTACACTGCTGAAAATGGAGAAATGACACTGACTCTTTGCTGCATCAGGACTTCAGTGGTGAAATGTTCTTACTTCTACAGCGAAAGTGAGTAAAATGAGTGAAAGATTAGAGCTTATTGGACATGTCTGCTCTCGACAGAACAGGAGCTCCAGAGCCTCACTGGGAAAGCAGACATTCCAGAAATCAGGATTTCCAGCGTCCACTGAGACCTCTGGCTCGGCCCAGGAACACCAACAGCACAAGCACCTGGCTGCCTGAAGGCTCCCGCTCTGCACAGCACACGCACAGGGTGAGTCCATCCATGCCCACCCAGCTCTTCCTAAATCCACAGCTGAGCAGCCTGCTGCCGCCACCGCCCACAACTTCAATATCCTGAATGAAAGACACGTCAAACGCTGCTGAATGAGCCCCATGTAGAGAATATGAGAGAGAAGATCCGTAAGTCCCGGGGCATCTGTCCACCTCTCTGACACTAATGAATGTTAAGTAGGTTAGCTGCTGGTGTGCCACTATCCCACAATTCATTGTGACCAGTGGTGGCAGCAGGGCTGGGCTTTTGTCAGGGTGCACCAACCCCCTGAGAGATGTTCAGAATGGCTGGACTGCTTACTCCTGCACCAATAGTTGCCATATTGATCCTCCTTGCTTGCAGATTAAAGCATAAAAGCAGCTCTGTCCTACCAGCGGGGATCCATACTGCCTCCCAGAGCTCATTTCAGGGTCACAGAGTCCTTGCAGACCCCTGACCTGGACCCCAACATGAATACACACAAACATCAGTGCAGGGCATCACATAAACCTTTCCAGAGATGAACCCCATTAAACAGGATTGGTCGGATGCTCACATTCATGGCTCATTATAGCTGACCCCAGGCTTTCTCTCTCTCAATCTGGTCACTCTTCTTTTCTGTATCTGGCTCTCACCTGGCCAAAGACATGCTGAGGTGGTCCCCTGTGCCTTTTGTTTGCCATTGATGGCTCAGCCGTTTGCTTGATTGTTTTCTGAACTGGATCTCCTCGTCCGCTGTGTTCGTCTGCGTTGTCCAGTTCCTGTGGTGTGCTTTTAAAGTTTTGTTTCAGCTTTAGAAACTGTGCAGCTCTTTTGTCTCAATGTTAGTTGGTTTATACACAAACCTGCTGGCTGATTTATGTGCCGCTGCCATTACTGTGGCCACAGAGCTGAAATGGATACATTTCTAATGACAGTGAAAGCAGAAATGTTGTGTTTATCAGTCAGAAGAAGCCTGTGTGAAAGTGAACATTATTCATTGTGTAAACACTAGTCTGAAATTAGTTATGACACAGGTGTTGGGGGAATAAATGACATTAAAGAGTCAGCCTGGAGTTGAAAGTGCTGTGTGGAGTAGCTCATTAAACCCTGCAGAAATGACGTGGTACCACAGTGATTTGAATCAGCAAAATCCACAATTTCTTGTAGTGTAAATTTCAGATTTTGATGCACACTGAAAACACTTGGTTAATAACCTTAAATCAGGAAACAAAACTGAGCACCAAGCTAGACCAAGTCACTCATTTGTCAGCAAGAGGGCTTAATGAAAGTTTGAGAAAGTAAATATTATTTTATGGAAGAAAAACTTTTGCTTTCCACTTATTCCAAAGTTAAAGTTTGGTGTCAGAGCAGCACAGAACGGACAAGACGTCAGTTAAAGCCAAAAGTTTGTTTTCTGAAGTTTTCTAAACCATGACTTGCATTTTTATGGCATTCGATGTCAGCAGATTCTACTGAAACAGCTGCACAGATTTCTTGGCAATGGAGTATAAGCTATTGTTTCTACCTGGAGTTGAAAGTGCTGTGTGGAGTAGCTCATTAAACCCTGCAGAAATGACGTGGTACCACAGTGATTTGAATCAGCAAAATCCACAATTTCTTGTAGTGTAAATTTCAGATTTTGATGCACACTGAAAACACTTGGTTAATAACCTTAAATCAGGAAACAAAACTGAGCACCAAGCTAGACCAAGTCACTCATTTGTCAGCAAGAGGGCTTAATGAAAGTTTGAGAAAGTAAATATTATTTTATGGAAGAAAAACTTTTGCTTTCCACTTATTCCAAAGTTAAAGTTTGGTGTCAGAGCAGCACAGAACGGACAAGACGTCAGTTAAAGCCAAAAGTTTGTTTTCTGAAGTTTTCTAAACCATGACTTGCATTTTTATGGCATTCGATGTCAGCAGATTCTACTGAAACAGCTGCACAGATTTCTTGGCAATGGAGCTTAAAAGGCTAAACCTTTTTTAATGTATGGTGACGTTATATGCACGTGGGGTTCTGTCGCAGTAATGGTGGCATGTTTGCTTTCACCTTCAGCCTGAATAATGCGTGTTGGAGTGTCCTTGGTGCTGATCTCACCAGGATGATCTTTAGGTGCCTGTTCAGTGCATGCTCCTTTAATTAAATGTTGATTAAATGCCTATTAATGTGCCCTGGCTCACAGAGAGGGTGTAATCAGGTGAAACAGAATTAATAAAACATCCAGTGAGCTGCTTGGAGGACAGGGAAGAGCTCCCCTGAGAAAGACAGACAGATGGTGGCAGGAATCACCAGAGAGAGGAGAAAGCAGAGTGGGAGATGGGATAAAGCAAAGACCAGCCACCACTTTGGTGATTAGCTTGAAATTGGTAATTTGATCTAGCCCCTTCCACCTACTCATTATTGATAAGACTGACCATATTTCCCCCTGCTGGCTCAGACCAGCAGTACAGCATTTCCTGTCGTTTTGAGTCCTGCCGGCCCACGCCATTCTGCCTCTGCATTCAGTGGATCTGACAGGAAGTACCTTGAGGTGGAGTTTGTGTGGAAAAGGAGGGGATACATGCCGACAACACATGCACAGTGGAAATCCCATCTGCCGGGAATCTCTCTAATCTCATCATCTGAATTGAACAAGGAAAAGAGGAGCAGCAATCACTTTAGACAAACCCTCTATGGGATTATGTGTTGTATTTGTGATGATGGGTCAAACGATGACATCAATGGCAGAGCAAGGTCAATGATTAATGCAATTTTGTTTGAGCTAATAGTGCTTTATTTTTGGCCTGGTTTTACAAATTAATGTTATTTTGATGCTTTGTTTTTATTCAATTGTTATCTATAGTTGGCTGTAGAGTCTGATCAAGAATTGCAGATGTTTCAGGGTTAAAAATCTAATAAAAGTATTTTTTCTATATTAATTTTACCTAGTTAACACTTGATTAGGTCACTACTATAAGTAGTAAACTGGTTAGTAGGGTGTGCTAACAGTTTCAGGTTGCATTACTTCAGCATGTGAAGAAATCCAAAGTGAACACTCCATCATTCCATCATGAGTTAAGTGTTTACACGTTTGAATTCTGCCCTTTTTTCCATTTCAGTTCATTTAATCTACAGCATTGTTGCAGGCCAACCCAACCCCCAGCCGCTTTTTTCTCTACTGTCTGAAAATGTACTTGATTTCACATTCAGCATATAATTAGTAATGACAAGGTCACTGGGCCCCATGCACCTGTGATTCACTCTGAAACTGGTTGTTGTTCCCTGTCAGTTTATTGTTCTACACAATTAAGGCTTCTATTAAGGATGGAGAGCTTGCGAGGTATTTCTGGAATAATGTGCATAATCGTACGTGATGTGCTTTGTTAAATACATCAGATACAGCCTCAATAAAGCCAACAGACAAAGGCAAAGAGATAGCCAGACCTGATGCCCTCCAACCTCTTATAGGGGCACTCAATGGGTTTGAGAGTCTGGCACAAGCTGGCAGAGAGCTCCACACCAGTGCGCTCCAAAGGAAAGGGAAACACACACATATACACGTCGAGCCCCATTGTTCTCATACCCTGCAAGCCCCCTCTTGCCCCCTGTCACCCACCCTACTTTGGGGTTACAGCCCATGAATGAAGGGTGAGTCCTGGGAAGATCTGCTGTCCTGATCCCTGGAGTGGACCGGCTCTGGAGCTGACTCAGAGATGGAGAGATGGATGAGCTGCTGAGGTGACTGCTGGGTATTGGACTGTGATGTGTTCCCAGTGATTGATGAGTTAACACAGTGCCCCCTGCTCCATGAGTCAGGCTGATGCACCCTGGCAATAAGACCACCATACTGTCCCGAGGAAGCTACATGTTAGAAAGAAAAAGGGAAGCGATAAGGAACAGATGTTGGAAGGTGGCTGCGTGGGAGAGCAGGTTCCATCATGGAGTCTTCACTTTCTGCTGGAGGTGTTTCACAGCAGCTCCCGAATCAAGCCAGGGGAGTTATTAATGCACTGCTTGGGGTTTAAATGTCTCTGGGGAGCCCTCATACTGTGACATTATGTTTGTTTTGCCAAGCTTCAGTCATTGTTCTCGTCCTGGGGGCCCACAGTTAAAGGAGAGCAGTTCATCAATGAGCTCTTCTATTGATCAATCTCAGTCTGGCCCTGGTAGATCTGTTTTTAAATGTGCCCACTTTCTGTAATCAGTAAGTTTTTATATTTAATTGGTTTCCTTTCTGTCTGTTGCAGAGGCCCATGTATGTGTCTTTTGTCAGCAAGGCCATCTTGTGGGATAGAGGACTCTGCCGCTACACTGTGAGTGCCCACATTTTCCAGAAATTGAACAATAGGCAAGAACATTTTTGTATTCTTACAGTATCTTAAATCAGTCTTACTGTCTTCTGTGAGGTTTAAGTGAGATTGAGCAAACTCTTAACTGCACAAGCTTGCTGTAAATTGCTCATTTTAATTTGATGAACACAGTTGTTCCACTCCATTTATGAGCAGGTTTTATTCACAAAAGTGTTCCAGAGGTAAAAAGTCCTGTTGGAAATCAGCACTCAAAAATATTTAAAAAAAAATTTGCTGTGTCACCAGTGGTGTTAGAAGACAAAGAGAAGGCAAGGCAAGTTTATTTATCTAGCACATTTAAAGCCACTTCAAAGTGGTTAACACAATGCACACAGATGGATAAAACATTAAAATACATACATACATATACTGTATAGATAAAACATTAGAATGCAAATTAGATAAAACATCAAATATTACTCAAAGGCAGCAATTACATGACAGTACAAGTAGCAACATGCCTGAGTAGATGCCTAGTACTTGTAGGATAGCTGTGGCAAACTGTCGGCTCTCACTGTTCTCAATAAACCTGCACCCTTTTACTTCAGTCTTCCCGTGACTAACCTCAGAGTACCTTAACATCAGAAGCAGGTGTACTTTCTTCCAGGAATTAGACATTTGAAACACCAGTGCCTATGCAGTCAACTAAACAGCACAATGGAGTCAGTTGGTGACTGGGTAATGGATGAAAAATAAAAGTAAAAATAGAACAGGTAAAGCGCAATATAGTAGGGTGGATTTAAGAAACATTAAAAGCAGTGGGAAAAAGAACAGTCTTTAGCTTAGTTTTAAAAGTGGCTGTAGTTGGGACAGTTCTAATGGGGGCTGGTTCCAGCTGTGTGCAGCGTCATGGCTAAAAGCACTTTCACCTTGCTTAATTCGGACTCTGGGCACCACTAGCTGACCCATCTGAGCCACCTACCAGGTTTGTAGGGTTGGATATCGTTTGGGTTACTAGTACTGGTGCTAAACAATACTTTTATAACAGTGCCGGTGCCTAAAAGGTACCAGAACTGATACTTAAAAAGAAAAGCATCATAAAAAATGTGAAGCTCCATTGAATTTACTTATTTGGATTGGTATGTGCAACGTGGCAGGGCTGCAGCTTATGAATTTTTATTATTATTGAAAAATCAGTTGTTATTTTTGCAATTTTTAAAAACATTTTTACAGATGAATCTATTAGAAATGTAAGAAAATAATCAAAAACACCCAACAGATTTCTAAGGGGTGTCATCTTCATAATGCTTTTTTGACAACTCAGTGATATTTAATTTAGAATAAGAAAAGCAGTAAGCCCTCACTTTGAAGAAGCTAAAACCTGCACAGTTTGGGCATGCTTCCTTGAGAATAACAAACAATTAATCAATTTGTATTCACTGATGGGACACTGATGGAGCCCAATCCCAATATCCTTGCCTTGCCTCTAACAAGTGAAAGGAAAAAACACACATACACTCTCCTCTTCTTCTTCTTTCTCTCCTCCAACATTCACAAGTCTCCACCTCTCCCCTTTTCTCAAAAGAGTCTGGGAGTGGATGTGCCACAATTAACAGTGGAGTTGTCATGGGGACAGCAGAGTTGTGTGGGCTGCCTTCCTGTCTTGGCCTCTGGTTAAACAAACAAGTAAAGTTGGCAGACAAAGGCGCTCGTTGCTCCTTACAGCCTCTTTTACATCCTCCGCTGCCTTCAGAACTTCTGCATTCACTAAGTTCATCAGGCCAGGCATCACCCACTGCCATTCTTCATTTCTGCTCCGCTCCCGCTATATCTAATAAATCACACAGGCATTGTGATTGTAAAACTGCTCCGGTCATACAGTCACACAGCCTTTCCAACAAGGGCGTCCCTGTCCAAACAGACAGGCGGCCGACAAGAGGCTGTTGACCCAGCAGTCTGTTTTATAGGCGTCAAAGCTCCTGCAATGTCACCCGGGACACAAGCTGCAATGGGACAGTGCAGCTCAGAATTCACAGGTGCCCAAACAAGGCAACAAGGCTGCAGAGCTCCAGTTTAAAACTTGATATATAGGTTGTTTTGTAAACAGACTTCGACCAAGGATTTATGTTTTTTCTTTTTTTTATTTGTGACTCGGAGCACATAAAAGCTTCATCGCTCTTAATGCAGTAGACACACCTCTGAGGCTTCTCAGACTTTACTGTTGAGTGTCATCTTCTTCATTAATGTCATGAAATCGGTGGTGGAAAGGAAGCAAGTGCATGCATGCAAGGACAGATATAAAGTGTTTTTATGTTATTCTGCTTTACACTTGTACTCGACTACATGGCAAAAAACATGAAAATGTCACTTTTTTTTTCCTCTACATTTATTGGAAAACTTAAAGTTCAAGTTAGTTGGCAAATTAATAAATGTACACACATACAGCCTATAATTGTATGAACAGTTTATATAATATGTTACAGTTTTAGAGATTTAAACCAGCCAACAGTATATGATGTTTACTGCAGGTACTCTTAGCTTTACCAGCTACAACATTAAAATGACTCTGCTGCTGCCAGTTTCTAGCATTAATACATGGTTTAAGTTATATTTGATTGCTTTATCTAAAATATGCTTTATGGATCAGTTACAGTATAAATTATTAATAAAGCAAAAGTTTTGTTTGTCAGGCTGTGACAATGCCTTTGCTTTTGGTTGGAAAGTATGCCTCACATACCTGGAGCTAAATCATTTTTAACTACTTACTGATGGCCCCTGGATTAATGAAATGTATGACTGTATTATTACCAAACAGAAAGGATCAACATTTGCTGAAGGATTTTTCAACTCTTACTCATGGCTTTTTAAGTGATCTCACAAAGCATCAGTGCTTCTAATTTTAATACATTTTGTTGATGGCTCTGTTACTTTTACTTCAAGAAAGGTTTGAATGCAGGACTTTAACTTTGCTACTTTTACATGAAGGTACTGATACTTTTTACTGGTCCTCGATCACTGCAGTATGCAATGCTGTACCACATTGTTGTCATCCTGTACTTGCTGTGTTGTGTTGCATTGTTTCAGGATGTTGGGGGGTGAAAGAGTTGCCGGGCCCTCTGGGGCTGCGTGGCCCTGTAAAGCGGGGTCATTGTCTCACCATCGAAAGTATAAAGTTGCTCTGAATGCTAAGCTGCATCTGAGCCTGGCTTCTGACACGAGCTGATAATCAGATTTACTCCCCTGAATCCACTGGACTTCACAATGCTCCCCACTGTCGTCCTCATCCCCGGCTTTGCCTCTCGTCGGCCCCCTTGCCAGCATCCCGACCCTTCGTGCACCCTTCCTCCTCCCCCACGGCAAAGCTAATTACATCCCACAGAAACACAAATCTCCATGATTTAAAAAGTCACTCTTTTTCAGGGGTTTAACCTTGTTAGGTCCTAAGCCTGGCTTTCTTGTGCATCAGTTCTGTGAAGAATTCTCTGTTCCTGCAGACACTGGGACATAGACGCACTTCTGTCTTTGCTCCTAGTCGTCTGCCTGTCAGAGGGTTCACTCAGAGACAGTGTAATTAAGTGTGTGTGTGTGTGTTTGTATCACTGCTCATGTATGCTTGTGTGTGTGTGTTTAGAGGCAAGGGAGGGTGAAGGAGCACATGCAAGTCTGTCCTCTGCAGGCCATCTGGGACTCTAACTAATAGACTTCCTACATTCATTGAGCAGCACTGCTTGTACATCTCAATCAGGGAGCCGTTGACCACAAACAGGCCCGAAATGACATTAGCCAGTTCTGGCTGTGTGAGGACAGTGTGTGGGTTGCCTGACGCCAGGAGGTCAGCCTTTTTCCTGGGGGCCTGCAGGGACCCGAAGGAGCCCACATGAGTGTTATGGGTGTCTACAGAAAATGCAGTAATACCTACAGTACTGTCACTGCTAGAAAATGCTTTGCTTACACTAATACTAATCCTTTTTCCAGTGATGTGTGGTTTGGCAAAGTACTGTTTTCCAGACCTCTTGTCCATATTGGCTTTAAAGTTGAGGGTGGAAGTTTAAGTCAGTTACAATGAAGTTGTAAGCAGATATAATTTAATTGCTTATTAATGTCCGAAGTTTGTAAACAGTAGAAACATTTTATATCATTACAGCTGTGTTTTACTACATTTGTCATTCATTGTGTCCATAGGGGACGTTTTTAGTCATACAGTGATATATATGCTTGCAAATAATCAAAATGATGTCCAGTACAATGAAATACACACTACATTAGACAAATCACGTGTGAAACAAAAACTGTATTTTATTGTTGAAATAATAAGTTGATTTAATATGGAATCACAATATAGTGAGAGTTGATATCGGTATTAGAGTACTCAGCTCTATGCATGGTGTCAGGTGAAGGTAAGCAGGAAAAGAATATTTGTAAAGAACCTTTCAAACAGAGATACTGAAAAATGCAATAAAACTGGGGAAGAGATCAAAATAAAATTAATAAAACAGAATGCAAACAAACAGTACAGTACAATACAGTAATGGGCCAGTTGCAGCGCAGTAACATGGGACACAAATATCAGTTTCCAACTAATATACGTATATCTACTAAGTATTTTTTGAGTAATGCTGTGTGAAATCTTCCGAAGACAAATGCAGCCAGTGTGCACAGCTCTTTAGGGGTTGATCTCACCCAGAAAACTCCATTGTGACCATGCATGATAAGTGACACCTGTGTGTGTGTGTGTGTGTGTGTGTTCAGTGGGCACACACCTTTGTACGTTTGCATGTATGGATGTGTTAACAGAGCTTTTGCACGAGTTGTAAAGGCACAAATCTACTGTATGTTAACTTTCATGCCCAGACCTGTTCTGCAGAATGTCACGAGTCTGATGACACCAGCCAAATTTAAACTCACAAAGCCCTCCTCAGCCTTTTGACTGGAATGTGTGACAGGTAATGAGCAGGCTGTAGGGGAGGAAAAGGAGTGTGGGGGAGTAAAAGGCCTCACCCAGCTCTTGTTCTGCTGTTTCTACCTCATTTCTCCCTCTTTACATCACAAGAGTGCAAATCTTTAAAGCCTTCAGATCTGAGAAAAGGGAATCAGTGGAGATGGTGCAAGGGATTTAAAAGTTGATCCTCCCTGTGTGAGTCACAGACGGTAACCCCACTTTTCTCCCCCCCCTTCCACAGGTCTCTGCATTGTACTCAGACAGATGTTGTATTTGTGTATTTTTTGTGTTTTTAATTGTGTGTTAAAAGGGTAAGGAGCTGAACTTCAGATGCCACTTAAATCAAAGTCAAATACTGTAAAAGCCTTGCATCTGTGGGCCATTTATTACAGCTGTTTGCTCTGTAAAGACCAGAGAGGAACTGAACGAGTCACGCTTTTCACTGGCTGGCATGCTGCAGCCGTCCGCCCCTCCACATAATCAATATTGACCATCCTGCCTGCTTCTCCCAAAAGTTTGATCGCTCTTGAGATAATTTTCTGCTGCCTTTCTTTTGAGATGGAGGCACGTAATGGGTGTTACTGTTCTCTATGTGATGAAGAGGAGATGTGTGATCTATTTTGTCCACACAAGGGGGCAGTAGTGTTTCCCTGCATCATTTGAATTTATAAGGCTTTCTCATTCAGGCTTTTATTTTGTGGTAGCATGGAGCACAGTTGTACATGTATGTATGTGTATATTGCATATTGGCAAGCAACAAGTGTCAATCACCACAAAAAGTTAAAAAGTTTACTTGTTTTTAAGTTTGTGCTTATTTATTGGAGAGTATTTGATGGGTAAAAAGTTAAACTGTCGAGCTCCCAATCATTATTTTGTACAGTATTAGTTGACTGATACTACTAATTATCAGTTCCAGTAACTAGTTAATTTTTGTCCTTTTTTGACAGTCTAAATTAATTCGCTGTATTGTATTTTTCTTAACTGTCAAATATATTTTATATGAATAATGCAATGGAACTTGCATTTCTTTTATTTTTAATTTGCTTTTCAATATTTATTTTTTTATATACATATATACACTGCTCAAACAAATAAAGGGAACACAAGGGAAAATAAGACATTATATATACACTGCTCAAAAAAATAAAGGGAACACAAAAATAAGACATTCAACTATTTGTGTTCCCTTTATTTTTTTGAGCAGTATATATAACATTTTTAATATTATTGTGCATTTTTGTCAAATTACGCATTTATTTACTCTATTACTTATTTTTATTTGATCATTTTAAAATTTTATTTTTCCATTTAGTATATTTTCATTATTTTTTTTCACTTTATTGTACATTTTTTTTATTTTTACCTGTTTTTCTTTCATTTGATCAGTTTTTATTTATTTAAAATCAATAAGAGCATTTGATATTTCTTTATTTTGCAACATTATAAGAGTTCTTCTCTTTTTTTCTTTTGCAGGCCCATGTTCGTCCCAATCATCATCTCTCACTGTGTCCACGGTTCTTGTCTCACATGAAAGCCCGCCCTGAAGACTCCAGACCTCCTTGTTTCCTGAGCTCCAAGTCGGGGCCACAGCCTCCATCTCAGGGAAAGACACAGAATACACGCATCCATGCTGCCCCAAAGACCCAAGTGCTGCAGGGTGAGGCTTATCAACAAAACACCTGGCGCTTTCACACCCTCACAGGCACAACAGGAGGAGGCCACTGACTCCTTTGACTCCACAGCTCTGCTCATTAAAAATTTTTCTCGCCTTTTTCTTCCCCTCCTGGAGCAGTGGAGGTTGAGGCCACCAAGCTCGTCGTTAGCTCTTAATCTCTTTCTGGCTGTGTTTGGTTAAGTGCAAATCTCACCCGTCCTCTCTGGCGAGGAAGTGCCCACAGCGCCGCCCTCCTGGTGGTCCTCTGGTTGGAGTGAAAGACCTGTGGCCAGGAGACCTGCAGCTCCTTTCAGAGCCCGGCCTCAGATGTGAAGGCATTTTTCCAGTGCACACCTCAGCCCCCCAGCAGGGCACTTCTTTCAGCATGCAGAAGGGGGTGTGCGATTCTTAGCACTGGGGTCTAATACTAATTATTCTGCCATATGGTGGTCGGCTCCCTCACAATCGTCCTTAACCCTGCTCCCTGAAGAAACGTGCTGTGTCCAACTCCATGGCCTTGTGCTCTGACACACGTCATTCATATGCACATCAGCGCGCACACACACACACACCAGTCCGTGTACACTGGTGCGTGTGTGTAACAGATGGGAATGGCAGGGCATTGTAAGAGGAGGCAGTGCAGAAATGTGCTCTCCATTGGTCTCTCTTTATCCCCCTGTGCTGACTCCTCTTGGCGGCAGACCCCCAGGAAACAAGAGCAGATTGTCTGACACCCTCCCACCCCACCTCCAAACACACGCACCAAAAAAAATAGGAGAAAGCAAAAGAAAGGGGTGTACAAAGGCAGAGGGGGGAGAAAGGAGAAGGAAAAAGGGAAATGGGCGGCGTTGGATGCAGCTGATGTTTGTGGAATCCCAGAGATGAAAGGCGATGTTCAAAAGAGGAAAGAGAGAAAGTTCTCCAAGCTCCAGCTTCTCAAGACTGTTTTCAGTTATTGTACACTAAATGTTATTGGTTTATGGATTGTTGGTCAGTCAAGCCAAGCAGTATTGAGACATGTCCTTGGTCTCTGGGCTGTACAGTTGAACAATTTGGAGACAAAATAATTAATTAACTGGAAAACAATCGAGATTCATCTGTATGGAAAATAATCTTCAGTTGCAGCCTTGTCTTAGTTATTATTAGAAATCCAGTGATCATCAAAATAGCCCTTTTTTCAGATGACGGACAAGGATTTGCATCCACCTGAAACCCAAAATATATAATATATCCCTGTCTTTTATTAGTATAACTAGATAACCTGGTCTTACCAAGTATACATCGTAAAAAAAAACTTCACTTGTATGAGCACATGGAGCTTTATAAAAGCTTTGATCATAAAACTGACTGAATAATAATTTGAAAAGAAAGAAATATCTGGATAAAAATTGTCATTATAATTTGGTTTTATCCATCATATGATATCTTGCGGTTACTAACTGAAGGCAAAACCACCCAAGTGTTACATAAAGCAGTCCAAAACATCACCACCTCCCACAAAATATTTTACTCACACAGGCACTGAAATAAAGAACTACTCAGAAGTGCCTAATCTGGCAGCACTCTTACAGACATTCCTCAAGCACTTGTTGCCAGAAAATGTGTTTTAGGACATCTGTACATAGCAAACACTGTATACGTACTGTACATATCCCCCTGCTCCCCGGTCTGACTACTATTGAGAATACTGAGTTGGGAAACAGGCAGCTGCTCCAGTGGCGCGATTTCTCACTGCCTTTGTTAGCAGCCCGACCCACCCAGCAGGGAAACAAGTGTTTGCTCCTGGACTGAGGAAAGTGGGAACGAAAATGTCACAAGCAGACTTTGGCAGTTTTAAAGATGACCCACACAGTGAGAACCATTCATAAGCAAAAAATAGTCTTTTATTAGGTTATTGGCCTAAAAACTAAATCTGTTCTTCATCAAAACCCATATTTAAAGTGAGTTCTGGAAAAGCACTTGAAATGAAAGACTGAATATCTTCAAAGAAATGTTTTGTTTTTGTCTTTCTTAAAGGACATTTCCAGTTCAGTCCAGATGGAAGAAAATGTGGTGTCCAGAAAAAAGGCTTGATTGCAGGAAGGCGCTCTGCTGTTGTTGTTCCCTGTTGTCCACTTCCTGCTACCCCGCCACCATCCACCATTAATCCAACACCTCCCCACCAAAATATCCTTTCCCCCAGCTCTGTAAGACAACAAAGTGATCTGTACCTTTTGCCGGTGTCCCCTTCTGGACCTCAACCTGCTCCAGAGAAAAAAGATGAATTTCAGAAGAAGAAGAGCGCACCCCACCCTGCTGTGGTGTCCATCACAGAGCCAACAGAGCTGGACTTCAAGCTGAATCTTGGGCCTGCGGGACCAGAGCGCTCAGAGTTACTGGCCTCTACCGTCTCACATGGGTCTCTCTCAGATTTAAGTCGTCCATCCTCCAGCCTTTTCAGCCGGAGCACTGACCTCGCCAGTGACAGGAGCAGTGTCCTGTCTGGTAAAACCTCCACTCTTACAGTGGCATTTGTTTTAGCTGTAACCTGCAGGGTTTCAACAAGTGATCACTGTAATTACCCAAATACAGTATACTTGAATTACAGAGAGATAGAGCAGAGAACCTACACATATTCTTGAGAACATAGCATAATTATAAAAACATTACTCTTCACATTATCCAGCAAGCAGAATGGATGGCTGGATGGAGAGAAGAATCTTCAGACTTGACATGACTAATTGTCATGTCAAGTCACACATTCACACATTAAATCAGGAGCCCCTTTCAAAGAACCTATTGCAGATAAGTTAGAGTCCTTCAGGGATCTGCCTTGCATTTGTTTTGAAAGGAGAGGAAATGATTTCATGCTGTAAATCACAGTGTACACGTTGAAAATTTGGCCTCAAGTACTCTGGGTTTTACGATTTAGGTAAAAGAGTGTTGAATGAAATAACCCTCAGATTTTTCTCTCTTGTTTTGTTGCAGCTTTCGTGGACTCCGAGCCAGAGGAGAGTGTTTGTTTCTCCCCACTCAATTCTTCTCCTGTGACTGAGATACCTCTGGCTTCTCCTCCAGCAGAATCCATTTATTATGAATCCCCTACGAAAACCACCAACACTCCGTTCTGCAAGTCACTGTCTGACCAAACCAAACCCCTCTCACCTCGCCCAACTTCAGGCATCGATCCACTTTCAGATAAACCTGTGCGCAGCAGCAAAACCATGAAAGCAGCAGAGAATCTCCACCTAGATTCATCCAAAGATCCTGGTCTTAACCTGTCCTTGGACTCTGATCTTGGCCTTGTTACACTGGCTTTTCCCTCCACTACTTGGTCTTCGTGCCCGAGTCCACAAAAGACCACTCACCGCTCAGGGTCAGGAGTGAAGCGAAACCCTTCTCCTCCAGTGAGTCGGCTGGAGTCCCACCTCTGGCCTGTCCTGCCTCCCATCTCCCCTGGCAGAGGTGAGAGATAAGCCCACAGCCTCCTCTCTGCCCACCGCTGGCTAGGCATCCATCCTTATACAAAGAAGCCAGGTCAGAAGAGAAAAATCGAAGCCTGCTGTCATAGTGAGGCATTTAGATGCTCTTGTGTACCTCAACACTTTGTGAAAACATTGCTGTCAGCCTGTTTTTCCACCTCCTCCCACCACATGACAAATAACGCAGAAAGCTTTTCTTTTTCCTCTAAATCAGCTATAGAAAGGAGGGCTTTTGATGAAAAGCTGGTACTATTTGATTCCCTGTTCAAAGGCATGAGGCCCAAACAATAGAACTCAGGGTCCCTACCTCGTGTGCCATGCCTCTCAGCCTCGGCTCCCCCATGCTTTCTCTATTCTCTGGACTCTGAGAGGGAGATGTGTAGCCGACGGTCATAAATCCACACTGACTGCCGCTTGCTGACAGCATAACACAGAGGAGGCCCACTACAATAGAATACCTCCATGGCTTTCTTGCAGCCCCTAATTTACCGTTCCCAATGGGGATAAAGGACAGGGCCACTGACATCTGACTCCTCCAGGAACTTTATGAAAGATAGCAAACAATGTGGAAATTGTGTAGGGATTTTCTCTTTTCTATCAGAGACATCTACTGTTTTCTGTGCGGTGCTGTATGGCAGGGGGCCCATGCTGTATCAGAGCACGCTGTTCTCTTCATGGCCTGAACAGAACAAGTGTCACTGGTTCATTTATTTCACTGCAGATGGAGCCAATTCAAGCTCTGTGTAGCCTCAAAGGGATCGAGGATCATTTTGTTTTGTTAAAGCTTGGGTCTTATTTTTTTAGTTTTAGACATTTTTTGACAGTTTGATAGTATTTGCTGAGATCTGGAAACATGGTGACACTGCTACAAATAAGTCCAGTGGGGTAAAACACACAACCACTTGTGTTGTAATCAAGACCACCTAAACCGAGACCAAAACCAGAGTGTGTCAAGACAGAGAAAAGACAGAGACTTTAAGGGGTTGAGACCAAGTCGAAACCAAGACCGAAGCAGTGCAGTTAAACTGAATTTGATACTTTGATAGTACTGGCTAGCCTGTGTTTCAGTGACGCTAATGACAATATACAGGAATTATTGAATATTTTTTCGTATAAAATTCCCCAAAATGATGCCACCCTTTTAATGTACATGTGGGTATGTAAATAGTATTTTCAGAAACCTTTTTTCGGTTTGAGCTCACAAAACCCATGTGATCATCTTGCTGCTTGTTTCTTTCCCTGCCGCTCTGACGTTTAGCTTTTTAGAGGCTGATGGGAGTCTCCTCATGCCCTTTGTAGCCTCCAGAATGATTTTCTCAGATCCCCTATAACCCATAGAGTGACCCTGAGCTGACCTGTTTTGAGCAACATCTCCGGAGTGTAACTGTCCCAGACAATGAAGTGGGGCACTGGCCTGGCCTGGTCTGGCCTGGCCTCTTCACTCAGACCCCTTCAACTCGGTCATGTGACCAGGAAAAGAGGGCCACAGGCACACAGAGAAGGCCTTGTCTGCCTTTAACTTTGTCATATCAAACTCAGTGACACCCCACTGCCACCCTTAACCTCCCCGAAAAACTCATCCAGCCTTCGTCGGCTGAGAATGACAGCTGAGTTGACAGCGGCAATATGCTGTGAAGTGTCAAGTCAAGTCCTCCTATTGTCTCTCTGAGTAGTGCCAAGCTGCTCAAGGGCACAATAGTGCAATGGTGTGTGTGCGTCACTCGCATACTTGACTATGTGAGGGTGGCTTCATGTGTACATTTATGCTCGGCCAGCAGACATGAAGGAGCTGAGTTTGCCTTTTCCTTTTAGAGCCTCTGTATATATTATCCTTTTGTCTGGGCCAAGCTGTTCTGCATTTTTAATGTGAGAAAAACCCAGACAAGCCTCTTTCAGTACAATAACATAACACACTACCCGGTGAAACTGTTTCACTCCCTAATCCTCTGATTTTTAAACCAGGCAGAGGGAAACAGTTTGGTTTTGATGGTCTGAGAGGGGAAAAGTAATTAGTGATTAGCCTGACAGCTCTTACCATTCCTTTCAGTGAGGTCGTTTCTAGTTAGGGCTTAAGGGCAAGTATCTTGCTCTGTGTATATTGAAGGTGAGATAACGTGGTAACACTATCCTCAGACCTTCAGGGCTTCACTCCTGGAGGTCTTCTGACATTTGTCAGAGTGTAAAACCAGGAAGGGATAGGCTTTAACTAAGCTCTCGATAACATCCAGCCAAGATTTATAGTCTGATAAAGCTGCATCAGAAAACATCCTCCAGGAGCTTTTCTATTAGCTTCTGTGCTATTCTTTGTTTATTTACACATCATAAGTTGCCAATCAAAAATCCCTGACCCCTTAATTATGATGCATTTTAATGTCAGTTGCTTTTCTTGTTGTGGCTATCAGCTTTTTTTGTGCATTGCACTTCGTCGTGTTGCATTTCTTCTAATGGAGGAAGCTGTTTGTATCACACAAAAATCTGCCAGTGGGGAGGCTAAGCTGACTGTCCCCTGGCTGCAGGTGCATGCTAGTTATTGGACAAACATCAGTCTACAGACAGATGTGTGGGAAATTAATATAATCCACCTATCAGATGAAAAACAAGATCATTCAGGATGAAACAATTTGATCTGTTTTAGTCTTTTTAAAATAAGATAACTTTCATCAATTGCTCCTTTTGCATTGTCTTCATTTAGTTTTCCCAGTTTTATTATTATTCATACAACTCTTTGTTGTATCCTGTTATTTCCTACTGTAATGCAGCAGCCCACTGTGCCCACGTGCATCATTAATGTTACATCCTGATCATCATCATCATAATTATCATCACAACATAATACGCCTACTCTGTGCTGTTGCAGGACGCTGTGGCTCAGCAGTATCACGCTACTCTGAGCTCAGCTGCACTCACTCTCATGTATTTGATGAACTGGAGGCCATCGCCCCTCGATCAGCTTCCTGTCTGTCTCTGGACCAGGCGTCAGACTCATCAGCCTGCACTTTACCTGATACAGGTACATACTGCAGATACACACTTATTCATACATCAACTCAAAAAAAATGCAGTTACCATTTTTTTATCATGTAGAACATTTTGCATCTCCATCAGCCTCAGTGCTTTGGGTTTAATGCTGCATTAACTAAGTTTTATCACAAATTTGGACAAATCAAGTAAAGAAATATCTCGAAGTGTTTCCTCCCTACTGTACTAAACCACCCACCCCACTCTGCTATCTTCAGGCCTTGTGTTTATTTCTTGCCCTCTGTGGCCACTGTTATTAAAAGCCCCATTGCACTTCCTCCATGCCCCCACTGATCTGAGGTTATAAGATGCATTTTTCAAACCCGTATGGCTTATTTCAAAGAGGAGCCGTTGAGGGTCCGTGTCCAGGTACAATCCAGGATGGGAACTGACCTGTTACACCCAAGAGGCCACATTCTGTACCACAGAAAGAATGAGGCAACACCAGGGTTAATGTCAATTTGGCATGTCAGACATGGAGAGCAGTAAAAGCATCCAAAGGACTAACATTTGATGCAGATGTGGCTTTCTTCCTGCTAAACACATAGGTACTGTAGCTGGCTAATGTGTATATGTCAGCTTCATTAGCAAGCTAACCTTAGCTTTTCAGTTTTGTACCTTTGTATTGAATTATTCATATTACAACTTGGAGTCATTCCTGGATAAGCAAATTAAGTAATTTTCCTCATTTTTGCTCGGTTTTGATCCAGTTTAGGTCGGACACAACACTGCAGTCCATGTAGCATTCTAGTGCTACATGGCATTTATCATTAACATTTACACCACCAACACAACTAGAAAAGTGGGGAGTTTGTTCAACTATCAAAGTGTAACATGAAGTTTCTGTTCTCATACAGTTATGTGCATCATGTACTGTATGTAACACTAGATATTAATGGAACATTAGATATACATATGCATATTGCTAAAATGTGAAGCTCTTTATTTGACATTGTGTCACTGCAATTCTACCAAAAACTACGAGCTCTATGGGCTCTATATTCCGTATACATTAGTTCTGGAGCTGGCTATTGCTGCTGTGCCACCTGACTGCCACAACTGCCTCCAGCTGTCATGACCACATATAATGTAGTTTCACAAACATGGCAGGAGGGGCAAACAGGAGCAGAGGGAGAAGAGGAGAGGATACTGCTTGAGTTTGTTTTGACTCTCACTTTGCACTTAATGGTCAAAAATTACAGGGAGAATTTAGTTAATGCAGCTTGAATGCTACTCAGCAAATGCTAGCATGCTAATTCATTAAATTAAGATGGTGAACATGCTAAACATCAGCATTTTAACATAGCTACTGCGATCGGGTTAGCATACCAACGCTATCACTAGCAGCCTCACAAAGCTGTAGCCTGGCTACATCACAATGGCCTGATCTGCCCACCCAAAAATTCTATGTTTATAAAATTATGAAACTGAGGAAAGCAGCAACTTCTCACATTTGAGAGCCTAAAACTAATTAAACTAGTGAATTTTTTGCTTTTTTTGAATTTTGGATTTTGTGCATTTATTTGTTTTTCTCTGAATCACTTTCAAGCTGAAAGGTTTTGGGATTAATGTTCTATCCACTGACTGATTTATCAATAAATCACTTTGACGCTAAACCTGAATTTCAAACACATACATTAAAATTTGATGTCATTTTTGTCTTGTTTGATTTACAGAATGTTTTTAGCTGCTTATGGAACTTTAGCCGGATTTTATTCTAACTTCTTGTTGTGTAGATTGTGACAAAAGAAAGCAATGTGCATGTGTGACTGACAGTCCTAACAGCCAACATTGTTTTGTACTTAATGTATTTGTGTTTGTTTGTTGTTGTTTCCATCTCAGTGTGTCTCTCTGTAATGTCTCAATTGGATATGCTCTCCTTCCTCTGCGCCTTCTTACAGACAAGGATGGTCTTATCTGAGCACTCACTCTGTCAGGTCTTTGTGTCAGCCCATGTTGGCCAACAAAGGCTGAGTCAATGCAGTGTGTGTCCATGCCTGTCTTTAGATAGTATGTATAAATGTGTTTTTGTCCTGGAGGTGGTTCACTGAGCTGCACAGAGAGACATTAGCCGATGAAGACTTCCTCCACCTCCCTCATAGTTCACTAATCCCCAACAAGGTGTTTAACCTGCTTGCTTGACCCGATCCTCTGTCTGACCCTAGCGACCTTTGCCCCAAGGATGTGGAAGGATCAGGGCGGCCGCTGCCACAGCAACCATAGCGTGATTAGATCAACTCAGGGCTCAAACCAAGTGCTCTGCCAAATTTGAGCTCATGCTTCAGACTGGTTTTTATCACAGACTGACATGAAGCACAATTTACATCTGTATAGAATGCGACCAAGCAGGATTGTTAATGAAAAACGCAGATAGCTTATCAGACTAAATCACAAAATGGCAGAAACTGAGAGTAATATGTTATTGTCAGACACAGGTTTATAAAATAGGGCTTTCAAACAGGCCTTGCAGTAAGTGAAAATATTTGTTAAAGCTGGTAACACATACACACACACACACACACACACACAGCAAACCTGAGCAGACAGTTCATATTTCCACTTGTTGCATGCAGTAAGCCCCACCCCCACCCCAAAAACCTCTTTTTCTGGACTACATTGTCTTCCTTCGCAAGCACAGTTTTCCAGTGTGAAAACAGTCTTACTCGACTTCGTTTGCCATAAAACCACAATTGGTTTGATTAAAAACTAGAGCTGTAGATTTTGGCTTGAGCCAAACTTAAGTCACAACTGAAGACTTTGAAACACAACCAAAAGACTAATGTCCTCAATCTGCTTTTCTATTTTTAGTCTTGAAACCAAAAACATTCACTTGACCTGGCAAAATCCCAGAACAAGTTAACATAAATAAGGCAGCCATGTGCCAAACACCTGATTGAAAGGACTTGGTCTCAGCTACAATACAAGCCCCATCCTTTAAAGGGAAGATGCATCATTCAGAGACCTGAAGTCTTGACTCGCAAAGTATAAAGCTTTCACACAGCAAACCTGAGCAGACAGTTCATATTTCCACTTGTTGCATGCAGTAAGCCCCACCCCCACCCCAAAAACCTCTTTTTCTGGACTACATTGTCTTCCTTCAAAAGCACAGTTTTCCAGTGTGAAAACTTACTCGACTTCGTTTGCCATAAAACCACAATTGGTTTGATTAAAAACTAGAGCTGTAGATTTTGGCTTGAGCCAAACTTAAGTCACAACTGAAGACTTTGAAACACAACCAAAAGACTAATGTCCTCAATCTGCTTTTCTATTTTTAGTCTTGAAACCAAAAACATTCACTTGACCTGGCAAAATCCCAGAACAAGTTAACATAAATAAGGCAGCCATGTGCCAAACACCTGATTGAAAGGACTTGGTCTCAGCTACAATACAAGCCCCATCCTTTAAAGGGAAGATGCATCATTCAGAGACCTGAAGTCTTGACTCCCCTAAAATATTAAGCTTTAAAATTGAAAGTGTGTCTGTGCTCTTCTGTCCCTCTGACTACGGGTGTGTGGTAACTATTGTATCCAACACCTTAATCACCAGATTAGTCATGTGTTATCTGCTGCTGTGTTTGCTAAGTGTCTTGCAATCCTATGTCTACTTTTGGTTAATGATGGATTAATGTGAGGCTTAACTGAAAGTGTGTCCGGCCACATTATATTACAGTCAGTTATCCCAGGGATTTCCTCTCAACGACTTCTCGATTTATCAGTCAAGGCAACAGTTCCTTTTTCTCACCTGAGGGATTACTTTACCAAACATCAGCACATCTACAGACACCCACATGAGTTTGACTTCAACAACCTGGAGCAGACTGGGTTGCATAACAAGACAAGCTGAAAATGTTATGTCTCTGAAAGCTGTTGTAATGGAAAGGAGATGTAGTGC